AAAAAAATTCGAACCTGGGTACAAGCTGCTGAAATGGACTTTCTTAGACGAGTCGCTGGCCTTACGCGTCTCCACATGGTCCGGAATAGTGATATCCGGAACAGCCTTGGAATAAAGCCTTTGCTTCTCGAGATTGTGAAGTCACGGCATGTGTGTGAACGCATCTGAAACGAAAAGCCTAGTGCTTTCTCGTTTTTCTGCCAGCTGCTCTCTTCAGATCAACGGAGAGGCAGCCGAGCAGGTGGAAAAGTTCAAGTACCTCGAAATTGTATACACTAGAGATGGAAAGTTGGAGGAAGAGATCGGCCGGCGAACTGAAGTAGCCAGTGGCGTTCTGCGTGAACTAGCGCGACCCACTGTGGCTGAAGCAGAGTTCAGTCTGAAAACTGAGCTCTCGATATTCAAGTCGATCTTTATCCCCATACTTTCCTACGGTCATGAGTCGCGGACCATCACCAAAAAAATTCGAACCTGGGTACAAGCTGCTGAAATGGGCTTTCTTAGACGAGTCGCTGGCCTCACGCGTCTCCATATGGTCCGCAATAGTGATATCCGGAACAGCCTTGGAATTAAGCCATTGCTTCTCGAGATTGTGAAGTCACAGCAACTGTTCCTTTCAAATCCGGCAGACAGAAGGCCCAGGGGACGGCCAAAATTAACCTGGTGTAAATATATAGGAGTGTGTTCCAGACTTCAGTTCTCTTCTGCTGAAGCTCAGACTCTGGCACAGGATGGGGAACGTTGGAAGATGAAGAACAGTGATAGCACGGTTAATTCGTACCATGACAAAAGTACCTGCTTTAAAGAGTCGTCTATTGTTTTCATGTCGAGTATATATATAGTCGCCGTTCCACCCGCAATCAAAAGCCAGAAAACCTTTGAAGGGGACTATCACCAGCTCTATCATATCAGTATCTAAGCGCAACAGTCTTGACCATCCATGAAGCACAGAAAGTTCTCAAGTTCTCAACCAGATCACTTGGCTTTTAATATTGTCTAAATAAGACACATACACAGTACCTGGTAGTGCTTTCCTCATATACTTGAGTTAGAAGTGAGTAACAGCCTAAACAGTGGAAAAGCATTAAATTAAACATCTACGCTAACGTTTCTCGCTATAAACTCATTACGATATTTCTAGAACTATGCACTACTGCTAAAATCATTCACAAATACATCAAGAAAAGCCACGGTCCCGGTACCAAAACAAAACTCTTTACCAAAAAAAAACGTGAACACAACTACATTAGGTTTGACCTTACACACAGCTGGCTCGTCACATGAAAATCCAAGATCACTACAGCCATTGCTCCCGATTTAACAGTGGCTATGAAGTAAATATGAAATTTAAAAAATCCACTCAATTCAATTAAGATCAAATTCCGGTATCAGCAATTCCGCAATCACGAAAATTTCACTATATCGAACATTCATCGCCGATAAAAAATTAATTTCGTACATGCGCAAAACTAATATCGATTACATTTACTCTGCTAACTACAGGGCACTAATTCAGTTAAATTCAGCTATTTTTGACCTCAACGGATTCGTCAAACGATCTCCTGATGTAATCTGAAGTTCAGCACAATAATCCATTATGAAACGATCAGATAAACAATAAAACAAGAAAATTATAGAAAAGGATATATTTCAAGAATGGCTGCCATTTCATTTATTTCGTTCAAGTTTACTCTGTATGTATCACTGTTCAATCTCGGAATAGCACGCAGATAAAACTACTGTATGCTGTACCTGCAAAAGTTCCATATACAGTTGAAAGTCACAGCCTAGCCGTCGTAACACGTCCGAATCCTCGGTGCTTCGCTGAGTGCCCTGTATCCCTTTTTTCCACAATTTTCCTCATCACTCATTTTGCTTCTCTTTTCTGATCCGACACTCATGCGACGGCTATGGGTGTTTGAAGGAATATTCTACTTCATTAAGATGACGGAGTTAATATTAATTCCTGTAAATGTATTTTCACAGTGTCTTGCAAATTCTTATTTTCACTGTATTTGTAGTTAGAATTATCACAGATAAACAAACAGACTTAATAGATTTGTTATTTTAAAGACTATTAAAATTAAGAAAAATGACAAAAACCACGAAAATTTACATTAAAAGAAAAGTGGGTATCTTGCAAATAACAGACAACTGGAAGAAGAAAAATCGTTTTGCGAAAGAATTTAATATTGCTCCTTGGACATTTCCACAATTTAAAAAGACCGCAAAATTGACGACAAGATTAAACAGAGAGCACTGGGACCTGGAGAATTGGAAGTTTCGAAGCATTTTACATGATTACATTGATAAAGCTGTGTTTTTCATGGTTACAAGATGTTCAGACAAGAAATGTTACTATTAGTGGTCGAACAATACGTGAAAAGGCACTGGATTCTGGCAGACCTTCAAAACACGATAATTTAAAAACAAGCACTGGATGGCTCGATAAGCTTCAAAACGATATGGACGGCTATATGATTGAGTTAATGAATGGCATGCTAGTGAAATTAAAAAGATAATCGCAGAATAAAATATCAATGATATTTTTGATGCTTATAAGACTAGGATATTCTAACGTTTACTTCCACATATAAACTCGCCATTAAGAAATATCGATACAGAGAAGGGAAGAAATCAAAACAATGATTAATTGACTTTTTGCTGCAATGCTTGAGGAACAGATAAACTGAAACCATTCACCAATAGACGACAAGCAAATCCACGAGGTCTTAAGAATATTCGATCACTTCCATGCGACGATTGTGCAAACAAAGTGCTTGCATGAGACAAACAATATTTATCGATTAGCTAAAAGACTTGGATATGCAAATGAAAAAATAAATAAGTCTAATAATTAAAAACTGTTCGGTACATAATTTGGCGTGAGTACTGCAACACGTTAAAGCGGGATTTTTACTCGCAGGCTCTACAGAAGTCTTCGAATCGTCGACTTAAGAATAATACATGCAATCAATATGCAATACAGGAGTCATCGCAGCAGAAAGTTAGTATTAAAATTAGTTTAGGAGATAATGAAAAATGGATGTCAATGAGGCTTGCGATATGATCGTATGGCATGACGGTTCGTAAAAAAACCAATCATAAGGCGTTGGAAGAAGATCTCGATTCTTGCACATGGTAATCTTGAAAGGCAGACAAGTGTAACAGAAAAAAACGGAACAGAAGTGCAACATGAAAATAGCGAAATATGCTATTTGATAGTATTTGCCACTTTATTTCCGGGTAAGGTTAAAAATGAAGATTTATTGACAGCGACCGAGTTGACGGACCATGAAATTATCGAAAATGCACCGGGATTTTCAGGAATGCCAACTTGAGATTCGACAATAAAGATGACGATGAAACTGCTGCTGAGTTACCTAATGAAAATATTGCCCTCTAAGAAGCTTTAGACTGCCTGAAAGAATTCATGCGTATCTATTCCCTACTATTGATATCCCAGAAAACATTTTTCAGCAGTTGGAATAGCATCGAAAATTTCATTTTTAATGCGCTACTATAAATGACAATTCAAAATAACGGAGGTTTTATTTTAAAAAAAGTTGTTTTGCAATAATTATTTGGATGATCATTCTTAAATAAAACGGGTCTATAATTTTTTTACTTTTTTATGTAAAAAAACGAAGTTTCAGTAAAACGAATTAATTCGTTTAATCCCAAAATTTTCGTGGAAGTCTGACTAGTGCTTGAAAACCAACATATCGATAAACTTAAAAACTTACTTTTGAAGAGCTACAACTATTTTACAAGGTACTTCTAGCGCTTTAAAATCCAAAAAATTATTGCACCAGGATGAAATTTCAATTATTTTCAAGCTTCCTACCATTTATTTTGTTTTAAAAATGCGAGTGCATACCATTTTATCACGATAATTTATAATCGTTATAAACTGTTTGCATACTTTATGAAATATTGGAAAAAAACTATCAATCCAAACGTCGAGGAGACTGCATACAGCATATCTACTTAAAAAACGCTTAGACTACTATATTCCTAGTCAGAAGAAAAACAGGAACAGTACAAACGTACTCTATTTCTTTCGACGGCCAGTCGGCAAAACCTTGCCAGCTGTTCTTGATCTATGACCACACCAGGCTTCTGAAACAGATATGTATATAAGTATATAAAGTACTCAAAACTGAGTACTCGTTAAACGGGTCGAGAACTTTACCATTAAAAGATGCTCCGCTTGTTTATACCGTTTTTCAGACACCAAAGCTAAGGCCAGCATTGTAATGGCCGCACTGTCTCCTCTTCTTCTCGAAACAGCATCGAATACTGTATGTTTAAAAAATGTGCAGCTTACAGTAGGTGATACGTTATATCTAAACACGGTGACAAAACTTACCTCTTTGAAGAAGTTCTGAATTTTCCTTTTTAATTAGTAGCTCCATGAGCCGGTTGGCGTATGGCAGTCGTCGGAAGCGAGCCGCCACATCTTCGAAAACGAACACGGCGTTGTCAAACTGCAGTCTAGTGGTGTAAAGTTCGACGGCCCGAACCAAAGCACTGTTATTGTTGGGAATGAAGCCATAAACATATAGCGCCTCCAGTAGACGGCAGCAGTCGGCAGCGCTGCATCTGTCGGTCACCTTGTTGATCAGTTGGAACACGGTGCCTGTGGCAACACTACGACTGACGGGGGTGCCTCCTTCTGTCGAACGGTACGACCGCAACAGATCGATGGCCATCTCCAACGATCCCTCGTCCACAAGACTTTTGGTTAATTGTAGAACGGTTTCCATACGACGGGGAGAGAGACTGCCGCTGGGTCTGAAATTGCACCATTATGAACATCACGTAACCAAGGTGAGAAACAACGACGCCTAACCGCCCGTTGTAAACGGTGACTGCCTCTTTCACGTGGCCAGACTTGACAAGAAAATTGATCAACGGTGGTATCGAGGAGACGGCGATATCCGGATAAGCGGTTTTTAAGAACTGATACGCTTTCATTGCACTCGCGTGGTTCTAAAAACAACAGATTCAATCACTATACTACATATTATTAATGAAATTATGAACCCCTCAATGCACTTTATTAATGAATATAAGTTCGAAACTAAGGTCGTCGAATAGTGAACATGGCTTTGAGCAAACCAGTAACAGATTAAGCAATGTTGCAGCAGCAGCAATATACAGATGACAGTGAAATAAAGAATCATCCACCTGGAGATCAAGTCGGTTTCTAAATGCCTGATTCCTTTCATGCACATCCCAGTGCCTGAACATTTACGATTTCAAATACCGCTTCGCCGTAGATATCGCCTTCAAAATAAGACAGCTCTCTGGTGAAGGCATTCAAAGGAAGTTGAGAGCTCTGTCATGAACTGTACAAAATATACCATCGGGAAAGGTAAAGGAAAAGGGCTTCAAAACTTAGGTACTCTTGTTTTCCCTGCTCCATAACTACAGTCAAAATTTTTGTGGATAATGTTATAAATGGTCAATACTCTGTCAATCGCGATTAGAATCCCCATGAAGAACAACAACGACAAACAGGCGGGCTGACACTTATTACCATTCTTTGTCGATATGTCACTAAATAAAGTCTGAAGCATTCGCCGCTCCACGGCTGTAACTGCTACAGGGAACAAGACTGTCATGAACCTCGAAAAAGTCAGTAAATCAGATCAGAGAAATCAGGCTTAAGACAGCGCCTCATACCTACTGAAACAGTTCTTTCCAAGCGAAAGATGCTCTGACAACAAACCAGTATAAACAGACAGGATATGACCGCTAATAATGATTTCTGAACACATCATCATTACACGTCTGATGATATCGTCCATCTGTTAAGAAATAAAAACGACTTGTACACAAGAGTTCCCGACGATTCTGATGGTCTATCTCAAAAACGAATATAAAAAATAAACATTTCTGCGCAATTCTGACACTCAATACCTATAAAATATGTTAAAGAAGCAAAACAGCTGCAGGTGATCAACTTATCTTAACGTCTCTTGCCCATCACATGCCTATGATAGACTTACTTCCGATCTTAAAAATTCCGGTGAGTCCAAGTATGAATCGACCTTATGCGTAAAGAATGACGTACAAAACAGAAAACAAGAACATAACCACTGCACGGCTTACTTTTTCTTTTATAGCATCATCGAGAAGTTTAGAGCAATGACGGCCAACATTCACACAGTCGGTATTGTGCACTTTGATCAGCTCTTCTAAACCCAAATCTTTAAGTTCATCCTATAAAAAGAAGTACTCTCAATTTGCACTAGGGACAATACACGCTGATATGAAGAGTCAGTCAGTCAGTATCGATGATCGCTTATCCGTCGGGTGGCGGAGATATTTGCGTAGGGCATTATTTTTAAAGTTCCGCATTCTGCGTTAGCACATGAGCATTTGCGGACAACAAGAAAATCACGACTGTGCTTCGGTTCATTAACAAGCATCATAATAACTTAAAGAACAACAACGATAGTCACAGGAATATACAACGCTAAAACAACGCGTCTATACAGGAAAAGTAGTACTGCGTAGAGTATTCCATTCACAACTCGAGTGAAATGCTGTTTGAAAATATGTTCTGATAAGCAAGAGTCAAGTTTCGGCAGGAACGCATCTCTTAGAATCTAAGCGCACATTTGCTTAGGCGAAGGGCGTAACGAATCTGCCAATGATAATCATAATATTCGCTAACATCAGCTAGCATAAATCTCGTTCTAATATCTCAACCGAACTCCATATACACTGAAATGCGCTAACGAGGAGCACGGTTGTGTTTTTGGCTGTTACCTGTGTTACCTGCCTGAAACTTTTCAAATTCTCCCTGCTCAGCGATTCTTTCCAATTATCCGATTCGCCGGATTTCAGCTTCATTTCTCTAAGAATCACGCAATTAACTAATCTAGGATTCATCACGTCTCTGCTCATGTCATTTCTGAAAATTCTCTGCAAACAAGCTTCAATATTTCGCTGAGAAGCGCGAACTTTCTCGAAAATCGTTGCTCTGACAGGCATGA